GATAGGCTCTGGATAGTCTTAGGATAGGCTCTGGATAGTCTTAGGATAGGCTCTGGATAGTCTTAGGATAGGCTTAGGATAGGCTCTGGATAGGCTCTGAACCCCACGACACTGAATAGTACAAGCAGTTTCAGAAAATGCATGGATGGATGATGTGTGAAATTCTGACTTAGGGTATAATACAGTTCCGACATATTGAACCCATGGTTCTGATTTGATGGTTAGTGATATATAGCATTGGCAATGTTTGTAATAGTGTTGTTAGTATCGTTAATACCAAATGGCTTTCAAAAAGTCACCACAGTACCTTTTAAGTACTAGTATCCCGTGCAAAACTAGTCTACAGAAACTCTGAAATATATGGTAAAACGTGGCACATCTTATTGGTGCAGCATGAATAAATAAAACTCTCACGTTGCATACTAGATAAATCTGTGTGTCATCGGGCCCAAAACGACTCCAAATAAGCCACAAAATGTGGGCATTAATCATGAATTCTATCCTGCTGTGAGATAACACAGGAAGGAAAGCGCTTTCTTCAGCAAAAAAAAGTCACGTGGTGATGACGTAACCCTGCTCGGGTCAGGATTGTTGAGTACAATGAGAGCTCAGACCAACAGGGGAATGGGGGGGGGGGGCAATCGTGCTCAGGCACGGTCCAAGGAAACCTGGCCTAGTATGTGTGTTAATCTCACTTTTCAGTGTTGTTATATTACTTTTCCACCAGTAGATGGTGACATTGATCTAGGAATCTTGTCCCTTTTGCCTCTCCCTGCAGACAGGCTATTGCTTATTTGTAGTGATGTTATTTGCTTTGTAGGAAGCACTACTGTGTCCGTTAGCAGGGAGATGAAGGCAAGTAGTGCATTGCACACTGGATATGTTCCATGCTTGTGGTGCGTGCAGAGCCCATATACGTACTTGTTTTTCATTTTTGCACTCGTTCCAAGTGAGGTTGTGGGTTTCTTTGAGAAGCACTTCCTTTGTCCTTTTAGTGGTATTATTGTCTTCTGAAGATGGAGGGAGAAGGAATTTTAAAGTAACAAACTAAACAAACTTACCGTCGTTAATAACTGTATCGCCACTGACTCCTGATAGGCTGTTAGTTTAAAACAGTTTAACGAAAAATCTGAACATGAATAATATTTAACAGAAAATAGCATTTATAATAAAATTACATAATTATTTCAATTTCAATTTCAATTTCAATTTCAAAAAACTTTATTTGTCCCCGAGGGGCAATTTAAAAGAATTATAGAAATGTATTGGATTTTAATATTGTCCTGTCAGTATTTAGAAGTGAGGCTGCATAAGTTTAACATAAATAAATAAACCATATTACTTTGCTTTGCTTTCCCTGCTTTTGTAGGTTATCATGTAATATTAGCTCATATTGGTTCATATTTAGAATTAACCTACAAAAGTTTTTGCTAGTGTGACATATTTTAATTTTAGTTTAGAGATGCTGAGGAGGCTGAAAACTACGCCTGGTGTTTATTTGCCAGTGCAAGTATTTGCATTTTGAGCCATTTTCTTTTAAGATGAGCTTCCAGAAGCTTAGAAATGGTTCTCCTTTGGTTATCATGGTCATATAGCTACTGCGCAGCATCTGTGAGGATCATCAGCATGAACCTCCATTGCGTATGAATGGAGAGCCTGTTCAGATTGCGTTTCCTGCGCAGGTTGAGCTCTGTGTTGTGCTCTACCCAATAGACACATTATAAATACACTATACTTCCCAATAAAGACACAACTTACTTTTTGCTGTTTGTTGTTCCTCTGGGCCCGGAAGGGAGAACAGAAACCAGATTGGTTGCTGTATTATATTATAGTGTTCCTGTGTTCTTTTACTGCACT